GCGGGGTGGCGGTGCCGACCCGAAAGGGAACCGCGGCGCGGCGCGAGGAGAGGCCCCCATTCGCTCAGCCAATCGGCCGCGGCGGCGGCGCTCTGCCTGCCGGGATACCCCAGCGCCCGCTGGGACCTGTAGTCCTGGCGACAGGCTGCGCACTCGATCGGGGACGGCCGGGAAGCAGGGGTGACCCGCCCACAGGGCGTTACCGCCAGCAAGCGGGTCTCCGGGACAACGCGCCTAGGGCAGCTCCGGGCGGGACTTCTTGAGCTGCGCCACGTGCAACGATCCTCCGCGAAAGGGGAGGGAGGGAAACAAGAGGTGTTGCAGGAGCAACCGGGGGCGCATCCTCATAGCACGAATGGCCGAGCTCTTCTCGGGGGTGGGAACTCACGCCGTTCAGCTCCGATCAGGTTCTCCTTGTGCTGGGCCTGGGAAGCGCCACAAGACCATCCCCGCCTGCGGGCAGCCGGCTGCACGGGGGCACTGGCGCCTTACTCTGGGGAGCATTGGGAGGGGCTCGAGGGCCGCAGGAGCCGCGCACAGCTGAGGGGCACTCCCGAAAGCGACTGACGGGCGGTCTCCCGGGTCACGCGCTCCTCACAGCCTGCCAGGGAGGCAGAGGCTGAAGAAAGTTGGGCCAGAGATTCCTGGGACACACAGAAAAGCCTTCCAGAAAAATGTTCTGATGCAGTGTAGAGCTGCTCGTTACAAACCAGGCAAAGCAGCAAATTGGGCAGCTAGAGCGCATGTACAGAGGGCTGGCCGCTATATCGGGTGTTTCCGCCTGCCGCGATAGACCCCGCCCAGGATGGTGCCCCTCCCTCCCCACCATGTTGAGTGCGGCTCCTCCGAGTGGGCGGGGTTTCCGCTTCCGGCAGCGGCGGTCCGCGACTCGGCGCGGCGGGCGATGGGCTGTTAAAGCGGCTGCAGTGGCGGTACTTTCACTTACGGCCAGCCTCAAGGGCGGCAGCGATAGATGAGAGGTGCCCGTTGTCGGTGGAGCCGCGGCCGGGGTTTGCCTTCCCGCCTGCTTCGCTGCGGGGAGGAGGCGCGGAGGTGGCGGGTCACGCTGCCTCGGGCAAGCGACAGCCTCTGGGCTTGGGCGGGGGTTGGTTGCGGTTCCGCCGGCCCCTGCTGCGGTGCTTTTGCGCGGGCTGTGAATGGGTCGAGCCGTCCCGGGGCCCGTGCGGGCTGCTACCCCCTGCGGCGCGCCCCCCGCCCCGTGTACTGGAGAAGCCGAGCGGCCTCCTGTGCCTCCGCCGCGGTGGGAGCGCTGCTGCGCCTACGCCTGCCCCTCCGCCGCCACAGGAGAGGGGCTGCCGGGTCCCCTCGGGTCTGTAACCTCTCTGGTGCTGCCTTCGGGAGCAGGCTCCAGGGGACTTGATACCAGGGATCCCAAGCCTGCTCGGGCCAGTGTTTCTCTCGGCGCTCTTGAGCAGCAGTTCCCAACTTCTTTTTTTTTTTTTAAATGCCGATGGCTGGTGCCCCCCACTCCCACCCCCCTGCCTCCAACTCCATGTGTGGGCACAGCCAGCCCTAGGTGGGTGCGGGCCCCGGGGCAAATCAGCCTGTGCAGGGCTGTTGGACCCCCTGCAAAGGTAGGGCACAGCAGTGCCATAGCAATTAAACTTGGCGCTGGGGCCAAGCAATTCCAGAGCGCCTGGGACAAGCCACTTTTCAGCGGAGGAGGAGTCTGCAGAGGGGGGGTGGGGGTTGGTGGGTAGTGGCCAGATACTTCTTCCGCGGCAGGGGGCTGAGCCACCAGCTCCAGGCAGGCCCTACGGGAGGGGTGTGGTTGCTCTGCCCAGCTCTGCAGAGCCCCCCAAAACATGGGGGTCAGGGCGGTCGCCCTGATTCGCCCTACCCAAGGGATGGCTCTGTATGTGGGGCATGGTGGGAGGTGTAAAGGGCTGCCTGGGAGCCCTCCGTGCCCCACAAGCTGGAGCTCTACCAGCCTGCAAGGGAAAAGCCACCGTTTCCCATGTGTTTTTCCTTTAAAGGACAATCCAATTTTAGAATTTGTTGGTGACCCTTTCATATATTCTTGTGACTGACTTTTGGGTCGTGACTCATAGGTTGATAAATGCTGCTTTTGAGGATCAAGCAGCTCCTTAGGAAGGCTTATCAGGACCAAGGGAGAGGGCCTGCCCTAGGGCCGCCTGCTGCTGAGGCAGCTCTTTGGCCTGAGGTGTTCTTCAACAGGGGCTGGCAAGTGGCGCAAAGACATTCTTAATGGAGCTCTTGTTTCTAAATTTGAGCACCATGAGCGATGGTCTTCACTAGTGCGTTTTGAGGCAGCAACAGCAGCTAGCAACGTGTGTAAAATCCTTGTGTAATGATTGGATACCAGCCAACTGGGAGAGGACTCTTGACCCAAGTTATTGGCTTTCCCAGCAGCAAACCTTGACTGGACACATGTGAAGCTGAGCACATTAACATGTTACCCGGAAGAGATGGCATTACCAGTGCCTATTCTTCAAGCTCTCTACTCTGTGCAGTGTGTTCAGGAAATGAATAAGTGAAGCCTGGGAGGGTGCAGAGTAGTGTGTGTGTTGTTTTTTTTTGTTGTCTCAGCTGTCCTGTCTGTTTAGATAAGGGACAGTAGCTGGCGTGGGGGAAGGAATTTTAACACCTCGTATTACCCGTATGGATATGAGCAGAGGACTGAGGTTTTTTTTCCTAACAAAAGCAGAATTCTTCTAACTTCAGTTCATGCAGGAGTTGAGCCTCCTGCTCATGTGTACTGGTCATGAAGGACCAAGGCCTAGGCCCTCAGTTGTCAGTTGAAAATAGGTGATTGAACTTGTAGTAATACTTGGCATTTTTAACTTCAGATCTGTCCAGACATCAATTTGCTGATTCATTGTGCGTTTCTTTGAGGAAGGGTTCTTTACTTTTCAGGAAGGGAAACTGAGACATGGGTAGTTATGGCACACCTGAGGCCATAGAAACTTGCTGAGTTTTACCCTTTGGGAGGCCCTGGCTTCCACTCTGTGACTGGAGCAATTAGATCATGTTGGTTTTCTATTTCCTGTCCTTATTTTCTAATGGGAACCCTTCTCTCTAAACACAGGCTGCATCTGTCAGTCATACCTGTAGGCACACCCGTCGGGAGGTATTGTTTAGACTAGTGGTTCTCAACCTTTTTTGTACCAGAAACCATTTGTAAACATTGATGGCCAAGCGCCAGGCCCCTGTGTGTGGGGCAGGGCAGGTTGTGTGGGAGGCATGGGCATCAGGTTGGAACTCTGCAAGGGAAAAGCCAAGGTTTCCCACGTTTTTCTCCTTTTTGAAGGAGAATCCATTTTTAAAGTTTTTGTTTATGATCTTTTTGTATATTCTTGCGACCAACAGATTGAGAAACACTGGTTTAGACTTTGGTGTTAGCTGCCTGTTTCCTTCCCCTTTTCCTTACCTCCTGGTGCTTTCACAGAATTTTGCTGGAAATCAACAAGTTAGTCTCTCAAAGAACCCTATTTACTCTTTCAAAAATTGTTTGTTAGAAAATCCACCAGATTTAAACAAAGGTTAATTAGTTGTTTTCATTTAAGCCGGTCCAATAACTATACAATAATTCCACGCACACATTTAAAAGTGTTAGTAAGCCCTTCTTTTCTTTCTTTCCCATTCTTTCTTTCCCAGAATCAAGGGAGAAATTGTGCTTACTTTGGACTCCTGAAATTTTTCTCTGTCTAGATGTATAGTTGATGCCTTTGAAAGAGACAGTTGGCTGAATGAGCCTATTTCTGTTTTGAGAATTTCTTAGTGTTATAGCTCCTTTGGCAATCTCTCACAGTCGAGGAGCATTGTCTTCCGTGATTCTTGTGTGTCCAAAGTTAGCATTATAACTGGTATGAAACCCTTGACTGCTTTTTACAAGCTTTAAGACAATAAGACAGTCTGTTCCAGCTCTAAGTGAGATGGCCAGCACATTATTCCTTTTGAATTTTGTTTTTAACTTGATCATCAATAGAAGTATAGGTTCTTAATACTTGGTGACAAAGCACCCTACCAGAAATCTCTTTACATGGGTATTTTTTGAGTCCTGATCAAGTCACTTTCTTCATCTTTTGGGTTAAGTAAGTGTAGGGCTTTTTTAATAACGTGATGCTATAAGGGAATCTCTGCAGACCTTGAATCATTATTGTGGGTTTCTTAATTTTTTCAATTCAAGCATCCATCTGAAAGTACAGACACAAGACATAAACAGTATTTTAGCAATGAGCTCATTTAATACTGTATGAAGAGGTATTACCTCCTTTCTATTTGACATCAATCAGGGAAATAACTAAGTAGTTCCTGGTACACAGGAAACTTTTAACTAAAAATTAGTCATAAAACTGCCATTATCTGAAATGTACATGAGACATCTGACCAGTTGCAGGTCGCCATAACCTTTCAAAGCCAGGACTGTCTAGGAATTTGGTACCACAGAGTATCCAAAAAGCACCATAAGACTGTAGCTTGAGTATAAATACAATACCTCTTAATAGTAGGGAATGTTTATATATAAAGCTAGTTCCCTGAAGTGTTTCCTTTTTTTATATAACTCTAGTTCTGGGTTGTGACAAGTTTTATATAGCTGCTCATCATTCTGATTTTTGTTTGGACAAATATTAACTAATATGGCTTTTCTTGGATAGAAACTTATTTTCTGTTAAGAGGGGAGAGGCAGTACTTGGATAGGACAAGTTAAGGAAAAAAGACTCTTCCTGAAGACTTAAACATCTGTTTTAGTGTTTAAAAAAAAAAAAACCAAAAAAAAACAACTTGAAGAATGAGCCAACTTTTTATTAGGTAATTTATGAGGTTGAGTCATTTAAAGATGTAAAAACTTCCCTTGCAGTAAGTTTTAACAGTGGTAAACTATGTGTCTTTAGAATTTTTGCTTGTCAAGGTTGATCAAGTAATTTCCTTAATTTTATAATTTTCTGAATTGAGCAGATTTGGTTACACCAAAAGGAAACCAACCATAAATCCAAGTCTCTAGAAATATGTACATGGTGAATGCATTTTGTTGAACTTTTGTGTTGGATGCCTAACAGATTTAAAGCTTGTTGGCATTACCTTATGATAGTCTGATGGCCTACGAACAGATTATTCAAAATGCCCTTAGGGCTTCTGGAGTCTCGGAGGAAAAATGAGGAAACCAGTTAGACTGTAGTAAGTAAATAGCAGCAGCATCCCTGATGAATTAAAGAGCAAGAAGGACTACATCACTAGGTATCTAGTAAAGGTGGATGGGATTTTTCTCTCTCAATAGAGGCCAAAAAGAGAACTTCTTAGTCTCGTATTTTGGAGTAGTGTGTTGCTGAGGGAGAATTTCTCGTCTCCCCTTCCCCTTCTCCCCACAGTCATTGGGATCCTAGTGTTTCTAAACACAGAGTACTATTTTGTGATACCTAAAATAGGTGAAAAATCAACTCTGCCAAAGCATTCACTCTTAAATTAAGAAGTAAAACAACAAAGAATTTGCATGGAATACTATCAAGCTCTCCCAGAATACACTGGGACTACAATTTCTGCCTATTTTTGTGGGTCAGAATAAGCCTGGCAAATAAATTATTTGAAACTTTAAATTATGAGAGGAAATAGCAAATATTAACTTCTAACATTATCCATGACAGTGTGGGATATATAGTGTTCTTTGTGAAGCAAAACATTGCTTTAACATCAATTAATAATAGTAACAGTTTTTTGTTGTTGTTTTTACAAAAGGGGGGGGCAGTATGTTTGTGCATGCAATTTTAACCCTCTCCTATTTTACCAATATGTTTCAAGTGTAACCCAGCAGGGGAACTTCTTCAGATAAATATTTCAATTCTCTCATGTTTACCTTTTTTATTTATTATTAACTTCTGTTGTTGTTCACTAGGAATTCAACTGTCTTCCCCCATCTGATTGCTGAACTGCCATTGGAAGCTCAAAACTTACTGATTACTAATAACCTGGCTTTGCATTTGAAATTTATAACCAGAGTTGA